TCTTGGGATTCTGCGATTGGGGAAGGGAGGAGCGGTAATTGGGTCTCCGGTAACCTCACTTACACGAAACACAATGCAAGCGTTGTTTCACGTCGGTTTTTATGACGCCGTGGTATCACTCCGGTCGAGCCGGCCCATTCATGCCAAAGCATATCGAGTAACGTTATAACTTTCTTGTTTAACCATTATACTAGCAACTACAATTAATAAAGAAGTAGTCAAATATTTATAACATCGATGACTCATATACACGAATAGAATCAGATGTGTTTAGCAAATAATTTATATCTAACAATTTTATTGAGTTGGAACCTCGCGTAACATATGAACCGGTTAGTTATATTATCTTAATATCCGTAAAGGCTGTGGCACTTACATCAGCGAATATATTGAGTGTTTAACCGTTTATATGATTACTGTGAAGATATTGTTATGCAAAAACTATAAAACAATAGTTTAAAAAGCACGTAACTTCACGCCTTTTATAATTTATCTAGGTGAGATGTCGTCAGAGGTACACGCTATGAAATGGGATGGGAGGTTCCTTTATCATAGAGTTTGGAATAGGAGGGAAACGAGCTGATGGATCACCTGATGGTAAGCGCTCGGCTACGCCCATGGACCCGTAACACCATAGGAGTAACGGGGGCGTTGCTGGCCTTTTAAAAAGGAATACGCTCTTTTCTAGTATTTACGCTAGCATGGATTACTTTCAACTATGTAGGTTCCTGATTCAGCTCTACAAGCCATGAAAAGAGTAACAACATGTTACTGTGACAAAGTTCTCTGGGAACATACACCGTTATTTAAATAAGTATGTAAAGATACACAGATATATTATGATATTGTCAATACAGACTGCCTCGTTGGCCGAGTGGTCGCAAATGTGAGCAAGGGGTCTCGGGTTCGATTCTCGGGTCGGGCAAAGTATTACTGTGTTTTTATTATTTCTCAGTAGTGGCACGGAGTCTGGATTTATGCCCGGTATATGGCAATAGGCTCACCCTCTATTACATGGGACTCATAACATAAATAGTGAAAAGTGGGTGGCACATTGTACAGAGGCATTAAGTTACGTAATGTGCACCTTTGCCTACCCCTTCGGGGATAAGAAGACGCGATGTTATGTTATGTTAAAGATACATATGTATCTACAGTTAATTAGCGTAAAATAACCGATCTAATAAATTAAAACATGTTGAATATATAAATTAATTACAGCAACGGATACACCTCAATCAGATGAGCAATAAAATTCTATTCAATTCTTGATTTATTTAATTTTTTCTTATCTTTATCTAGTAGTCGTAAAATCGATCTAATTATTTTTATAATACTTTTTCTTCACAGGTATTTAAAGACTAGTCGAACGTATGAATATATGTGTGTTAGGTTATTCCGTTCCCAATAAAAAGGTTGACCGGACCAATTGCTGACACACACGTCATACTCGTTAACGGGTGCCTTCTGCTGGGTCAGAGTCCTTACTCTAGAAACCAATCTCAATGTCAATGCAATATCAATCCAATACAATCTCAATAATTATTAAGTGTCAAAACTATACAACCCCTATCATAGCTGTTAAAACTGCATTCAGAGTACGGAATATAAAGCCAAACTCAATACCATTTAGTTCATTAAATATCCACGTAATACGGATGCAATGGTCGCAGTGTTGAAACTCAAGAGTACGAAATTTCACAATACCAATGTCGATCGATCGGGATTAGATTCAAGAGTAAGCCCCTTGGTCGGCTCTCCCATCGTGTTGGTGGGCTGATTTCTTAGAGCCGTCGAAATAGATCTAAATGGATAAAAATTATTATGTAATTTACTCTTGGAGTAATTTATATAGATGTAGTTAATTGTAGTATGTAACATAGGTAATTTGAAAAAATGTAGGTACAAGAGTACGAACCAAGAGTCCGTGGACAATTAGGTAATATGTAACATTATAAAAAAACGTATGAATAGATAGGTAAATGTACGCAATGTACTTGGGTTTTGGCACAAACAGAAGTCAATAGTAATGGGATTTAGCGACTTTTGATATTATTTTTCGACATCTTATGTCAATTGCATCATCTCCTATTTACCAAACAAAACATTAATCATTCGACTAGCTTAGTAAAAGAATCACAATGATTCTGTTTTTAGTACTTTTTAGCATCGATATTTGTTTAGTATTTTATCACGTAATAAACAGTTAAGTACGTTTACCTGTATGCAAAAAACACATTCGTATAAAGTGAAGACCTGTCCTGGGTCATACAAGGATATTTGATGCCGGTTACCTGATAGTAGTATTGTTATGCGAATTTATCATGTAACCACATAATATTACGTTTGTTTTTCGATTAAAAGTAACAGAAATGTATGATATTTATCAGTATCATCATTTGAGAGACGTCCTCTCTTCTCTCTCATCTCCCTCTTAAATTAAACAAGTTATGTTAAAGTTTTCCCCTTGCTTGGTTTTAGGGGATCATATCATAGTTAAGTCACCAATAGTTTAACCTTTCGTGTCTAAAATGCGGATCCACGCGCGACAACATGTATTGTCTATTATGTCTCACATCAGTGCACTCAAGGGGTTAATTGAAAAAGTTCACATATTCATCATCATCATATCAGCCACAGGACGTCCACTGCTGAACATAGGCCTCCCCCTATGACTTCCAGATACGCCGGTGGGAAGCGACCAGCATCCAGCAGCTCCCTGCGACCTTAATTAGGTCGTCTGTCCACCTTGCGGATGGACGTACCTACCCAGCTTGCTGGTACGTGGCCTCCACTCATTCACATATTACCAAATTCCAATCATCAATTTCTTTAGGAGTATCATAATAAATTCAATATTAATATAGTGTACTCTACATACGAAATGAACCCACGCATAACAGTTGCACATGCAAACTCTTGACCAACGAAACAACTTAAGAATTAATTAACACTATAATGCTAATAAGTACCCACACACAGGAATGCATCAAGATTACTGGTTTTAAAGATGGATGATTTGTCATTTTGTCATCATGATCAATTGACAACCAACGGCATTTTTCAAGTCGTACGTTGACTTGTGGCGACTTTAATTATGACTTTTAGACTGAGACATAACATAACATCACGCCTTTTGTCCCCGAAGAAGTAGGCAGAGGTGCACTTTTCGGCACTTAATGCCACTGTGCAATGTAACACCCACTTTTCACTATTTATATTATGAGTCCCATGTAATAGTTGTTTTTTAAAAACCCAGTAGGTAATAGATACTTTTCCCGACCCGGGAACCGAACCGGAGACCCCTTGCCGGACGTCCCACTTGCGACCACTCAGCCAATGAGGCAGACTAACACATTTTTTAATTAAAACATAATTTAATCACATATAGCATAATAATAAAAAGAAATCTATTAGGTATATGTATTATGTAACAAGGTCTATAAAATTCTTAAATTAACTCGAGTTCAAAATCAAATCTCACACTTCAATATCAGTAGTCACAATTACAAATACTTTTTTTAATTTATAAGAAGGTTTAATTAACATTAAAAGTATTATTATTTTGTAATTACATCTCAAACTGACAGGTAGCCGCTATAGATTCAATACTGTGATTAAATATCAACCATTAAACATATTAATTAAATGTTGATATCAGATGAACTCATTTTTTTAGGTTATGTGTAGTTCATTGACTTACTTTCTGTACCATCGTAATTTTATCTTCATTCATATAACTACACATTGTTGCTATTTTTTAATAATAGGTTCTCACATTTTTTCATGCAATAACCCGTGAATACTTTATTAGCTCTGACATGTAACTAAAAAACTATTATATCATGGCGTTTGCAAAACATAGTAGTGAAATGTTCCCGCCATACTAAGGGCTCGTACACAAAACTGTGATGCGATGCGAATTGCTGCGATGCGATTTCGTGCGACAAGGCGTCTCCCAGGGTGACCATTCCTTCGACGACCGTCAACCGTATTAAACGTATTTTAAATTGAAAACTATATCGTGACATGGATCGTAAAAAGAAGTGTGCACTTCTGTTACTGCTTAGGAGATACAGGAAAAGAAACAAAGAAGATTTTGGGAAGATAAGATATTGATGCGCGATGCGAATCAATTCGCAAGTTCTTGCGATGCGTAGAGGGAGCTCGCATATTTTTGCGATGCGACGTCGCATCGCAGTTTTGTGTACAAGCCTTAATGTGTTATCCTTTTTTGAAGAGTGGCTCTTGACTGTTAAAATTATAATCCGAATAGTAATAGTAATAGAAGACATGTCGCGACATAACATATCAAACCCAATGAAAATTTTGAAGTAGAAAATTCTATTATCCTTTCGATAGATGCACTGCCAAATTTGATCAATGGCGCAAAGCAAAGGCACTCGACCACGAAATAGTTACACATAGTTAGTACAGAGTAGATTAAAATATAAATATAAAATGCTTAATATGCAGGGCATGTGTGTGGTCCTTTGTTTAGATATAATAGGACCAAACTAGTTTGTGTACCTAAGGACCGGTTCTGTTATGATATAGGTTACACTTGAGGTCACGATGCTGGGATCCCTTCTAGGAACTGTGTGAGTCATTGTTGTGGTACTAGTAATAATATAAATGTGGAAGTGTGTTTGTTGGACTTTCTTTCATGTTGCTATGGAGCATTTTTATCGTATGATGTTTGTGCATAGAGATATAAGAAGAAGGCAATACGTATGTTACTCTTTCGTCCAACCAGGCGGGTGATTTGCGACCAGATAGCTAGTGATACCGTACTTTGAATAAAGTCATTTAAACCACTCTTGTTAACTCCTGTACTTAGAAAAAACTGTCTGTAGTAGATATCTGGGGAATGTATAGGAGAGGACTTTTGAAGCTTGCCAGTTGAGACGAGAGATATTGTTCCGAACGATTTCTCACTCCAACTAAATAAACAATTACCTCGAAGGAGATGAAGAAATAGTAATTATAATTAAACTTACTGAGTTCAGTATCACAGTCGGTGTACTCGTGGTTGCAGTCGACGGTGTAGGCGGCGGCGCGTGCGCTCACCGCGACCACCACGCACCATAGCGCTAGTGCGCGGACCGACATCTTCGGTCACCGTAGCGCCATCTGGAAGAGGGAAAAACTAGAGTTAATACTTTAAAAATAGATAAGTAATTTTAAATTGTTTAAGGTTTTCAAAATTATGCTACGGTAAAGCAGGCAGTCAGGTGATCGTAGCTTTGTGACTACCAAGCGAGAGCATCTTAGGTGTTTATCGTCAGCAAATGTGGATAGTACGTACTATTTCAAAATTCTTATGTAACAATATAGCTACGATATTAAACCGGTGTTACAGAAAACCAAATTCTCAATAATAGCACGGAGTCTGCAATTGTGCCCGGTATATGGCAATAAGCTCACCCCCTATTACATGGGACTCATAACGTAAATAGTGAAAAGGGGTTGTTATATTATACAGTGGCATTAAGTGCCGTAATGTGCATTTCGGCCTTCGGAAATAAAAGGCGTGATGTCATGTTATGTGAAACAGTATTTTCAAATAGTAAGCGAACTGGGTATCTCTTTTGAAAAACCTATTCCTACTAACAAACATTATGAAGTTCATCTCAGTCAAGACAGTGGGTCAGCAGTGGACTGATATCATAAGTAAGATGACTAAACATGATTAAAGTAGATTACCAGCTGTTTATGAATCAAACAGCACTTGCATTAAGGTCGCGTCCCCATTGACGCAGACGCAGCGTTCACGGCGAACTTATGAATTTTGCACGAAGCAGTTTCTAAAACACAGTTGTGGTTTACTGTTTATGCGATAAATATTATAGTACTTCCCGGCGTATTTTAAGGAGAGAAAATCATCAAAGTCAAGGTCAAAGTCAAAGTCAAAGCATTTATTTCAATTAAACCATAGTTTGGTGCTTTTAAAACGTCAACAAATACAAAATAAATAATAGTCTGTCAGTCAGTCCGTCAGTGAAACTAGGTAAAGCTAGGTGCTCAAAATGCATCAAATGACTTCTCACCCAGGCGGACGTAGGGGGAGGAGGCGGAGGAGGCGGAAGAGGGCAAAAGTCTGCTCTTACTGACTAAAAACCACCCTATTCCTACACCTGCACTTCCATGTAACCTTGGAAGACTACGCTACTTCTGTTACATTGTGAAAAAGTTGCAACAATTACAAGTTATAATTATTTTACTAGTCGCGGAGAACCTAACGGGTAACCGGGGCTCCGGCTCGACGTGCAGGAGAAGGAACGGGGTGGTTTTTAGTCAGTAAGAGTCTGACACTCCCTACCGCCTAACCCAGGCGGGAACAGTCATTCGATGATTTTCCCCCCTTAAAAAATAAATTATTTTACTATGTTTATTTGTCTTTTCAAATTCCTAGTTTGATTGCATTCTATCGATCAATTTAGCACTCTTTCTCATCCTCATCAAGATCTAAAATTGTAAAAGAGTTTGAGGCACTTCTGAGCATCAAAATCAGTTCAGCAGTTTAGGTGTGAAAGCGCAACAAATGAACTTACTTCCGCATTCATAATATTAGTTTGTTACATAGATATTTAGAATTCTTATGTCGTTTTTATTCATATCATATTATTCTTGAATGTAATAGTATAATTTATAATTAGGCATGTGTTAAATAACAATAAGCTTACGTCATCACCATAATGTTTTTCTTTTCATTTTTACCTATCATCTCATCACCCAGTCATCTCATCACCCAACCCATACGGAGAACCTAACGGGTAATCGAGGCTCCGGCTCGACGTGCAGGAGAAGGAACGGGGTGGTTTTTAGTCAGTAAGAGACTGACACTCCTTTTCGCCTCACCCAGGCGAGAGCAGTCATTCGATGATTTTCCACTATTAAAAAAAACCTTATATTCAAATTAAAAAAAAATTAAAACAGCCATTTTCTAATTGTCCTCTTTCATCCTTTAAAAGTCGTCAAAAACTACCAATAAAGAACTATAACTTAGAATACAATATAGACAAAAAATAATTCACTGGAAAATATACCACAATAACAACGAAATAAAGATATATTTCAGCCAAAACTTCTTAAGGTGCCTCGAAACATTGAACTAAAAACCACAATTAAAGGAAAATACACCACAATAGTAACGAAATAAAGATCTATTTTAACTGCCACTACTACTGTCACCTGTAACAAACAGTTATTTGAGACAAAATCCGCACTTGTATCGAATGATGACCGAAGTCTGCGCGAGCGCAACTTGTGGTCATGTCTGCGGTTAAAATTAGGTGAGAAAATGAATTTATTATGGTCTTATTCGCATTTGGAGTAACAATACAGAAGTTTTGAATTATTTTGAGGTTATATTTTGCATAGCTGTAAAATTTTTCATGGCTCTATTATTATTTTACTTTTTTGATAATAGGAATGTCGTCGAAAAAAAGGTTTTTGTTTCGTTTTCGGAGATAAGCGAATAGTTATCAGGTTTTCGGTTAAATATTTTCAGTTGTAGACGAAATCTGAATTTAAACTGTATTGATTTTTTGGCTTGAGTCCAATAACTCCGTTAGCTGAAAAGTGCATGTAAAAGTTTATTGTAGTTTTTCGTAGATACATAGTTTGTTTGTTTGAGTTTGTTTCGGCATTTCTTCTCAGAGTAGTCAGTTAGGAAATGTCGACCTCATCGTTCGCTTGATAAAATTGACGTGTAAAAGTGCTGCCTTGTAGCCTATTTGCAGAAATAAATTCACTTGTTTCACTTGTTTCACAATATTATCATTGCATGAGTAATTATGCCCACTCATAGTGCTTGCAAAAACAAAAACTGACTCTTTAGAACAAGGATAAAATACAAAGATTACATTAAACAACAAATCGATTAAAATGCTAATCGAAACACCAACCACTACAAATCTGTATTTACTAAATAGTGACGTCACAATGACACATCACCACCCACTCAGTCTGCCATTGTTAAGCCATCGTATAGTGTTAAATAATTGTATTAAAATTAGTTTTCACTTTCGTATGAGGTCAACCACAGAAAATAATTAGGACAACGGTCTGGTTAGGGGCAATGTATTGCTGGCCTTTGTAAAACGATTGGAAAATATTCTTCATTGAAACAGTGAAACTTATCTTATTTGTACTGATTCAACTTACGAGTCGTATGTTTGTAATTATTGACACTCCTCTTCAACAATTCATACATTTTCATATTCTGTTATTCAATGGCTCCCTGTAGTCTTTATAAGGTCGTCTATCCTTCGTGTGAGAAGAACCATCTGTTTATTTTATTGGGACAAGCCCGCCACATCCTCCCAAAACCGCTGCAACTCCTGTAAGCCAGGATAGATACAATACAACCATGAAAACACCGGAACACTGAAGTCCGGCGCGTCCCAGGGACACGAGTAACTGTCTCAGAAGAGGAGAAGAAGAAAAATAAAGAACCATCTGCGAGAACTTATTGCCATTAAAGTATTTATAGTGATTCTCAACTGTTAACGTATAGACTTGGACTTGAAATTAAAATGTATTCTCCCAACCCAAGAACTGTGGATAAGACACGATTTGTTACATTACTTTTTGGCAAAAATCGATCCTAATCCACAGATTGTAATTCGAGATAGGTTATTTCGGCTGTAAATTTATCTGCACTACTTAATCTTTAAAAAATGTGTCTTAAATTCATCCTAATAGAGACTACTATAGTATACAATTGTTTTGGAATAAATTGTAACATTTTTCGAACAACGCTTACGTTGTGTTTCGTCATGTAAGTGAGATTACTGGAGGCCCAATTACCCTCCCCCCCTCTACCCCAATCTACCCAATCCCTGAATCACAAGATTCCTCAAATTTCTAATCCCGAAAAGGCCAATAACGCACTTGTAACGCCTCTGGTGTCCATGGGCGACGCCGATTGCTTACCGGGAAGTGATCTGTCTACTCGTTTACCGGCTTATCTAAAAAATTGTTTTTTCTAAACATTATCTTCTATAAACTGTACACGTTACTCGTAGTGTTTCAGAAGAAAGTGCCCCCGATATAATCATACAGCGAATGGTACCAAATGTGGCGCATTTACATAAGAAAATAATTATGAATATGTATTCCATTATATGTAAATATAAGTAGGTACCTATATGATATGGTTATTGTAGTAATGTTTGTCTTATATTACTTTTCTTTTTTAGACGTAATACTTTCTTTGTCAGATACGTACCTATACTTTCTATGAGTGTTTTTCCAGATGTGCTCATCTGGACACAACTGGGAAAAAGCTGTAACTGTTTTATAATCACACCATACAATACATTACATAACCTTCTTATGTACAGAAGGCCTAAAGTTTAATGGTGAACAAGTCACAGTTTACTTTTGACGATGACGACACAAACTCATTAAAGCCATGACACTATCTATACCTACATATAATAAATCTGTAGAAAAATAATAAGTAATAATTCTTATCACAATCGAATACATCAAACATACTTTTATTCTACACACAAACTTTTTTTTGAGGAGGGAAAATCATCCAATGGCTTCTCCCGTGTCAGACGACTAAAAACCACCCCGTTCCTACTCCTGCACTACGAGCTGGAGCCCCGGCAACCCGCTCAACTTCCGTCTTCCGCGACTTCTACACACGAACCCAGGACTCCACTAACAACACAGTTACGTTAACTAGCCCTCTCAAGCACCTAATTATCCGAACAAGATAAGCCACTAGACAAAATAAAGCAGCTAGGTATTAGGCAACACTTAAAAGAATGGCCACAATTAGCATGTCTATTGTTTGCGGAAACAAAAGAAGGTTATGTGTTTCGTGTCACAAATACATTGAAGAAAGTATGTAAGTATAGTGAACTAGAATTTACCTAACGCTTGTTATTGCCAGAAGGGGTAGGTAGAGGTCTAAGTACACAGACACTTTTATTTATCAATGTGCTTACTGGTCAAGACCCAAGCGGTCACCGGTGACCGCTCTCCACTCACTACATTATAGCCCTTATTTCCAATGTTTAGAAACTACCTTTGTATGAACAAATTTTAGGAATTTTCGGTACGATATCTCAAGTGATAAAAAAGACTATATT